GCAGCCCATTAGAATCACCAGGGGACCATTTAAAGATCTGTGCTTAGGCCTCACACTGGAGAAGTTAAATCAATTCTTGGAGTGGGGCCCTAGGCTTGGATACTGTATCCAGGACTCCTGAGGTGTTTTTAGTGAGCAATTGGGATTGAAAGCCACTAAGTTAATTGGCTGTTCCCATCTTGGTAGTCCCTTTGGCTTTTATATGGTCCCTCAAGAATTCTGACCTTAGGATTTGGTACCTCAACCTTCAGATGGCATGCAAGGAGAGCTCCTATATAATAGCTGGTCAAACTGAAGCCCTACCTGGGGCAGGTCTTCCTTTATTATTTAATACCTGCTCTTAGGATGTCTTCTAGCACATATTACTAATAGTAAACTGTTGAAGGATTCACTTATGTTCTGGTCAGAATGGTTCAGGGATTAGAGCTTGTGTGTTCTTTTTGGCTGCCTGGCCAAAGGCAAGGAAAGTATTGAAAAAGATGTGAAGGAATAGGTACTTGATAATATTTGTTGGTGAGAAAAGGGAGCCCAGGTACAAAAATATTTTTGAATTTCAATACATTCTGTTGTCAAACTAGAAAGAAAATGAGTTTTCAAATGTGAACAGTATAAAAATAACTGAGGCAACTTTTAGATTGCTAGATAATCTAAACTCTATGATGTATAATAATACATAAATCTGGACTCTGAAAAGATTTTATATGCTTTATCTGAGCTCCTAATTCATGAACCATAAATGAATCTCCCAAAATACAGCTTAAGGAATTTTATCAAACATTGACTTCTATCATCTTACTTTTCCTTCAGTGTCTTGGAGCAAAACAAACAGTACAATTGGGTTGAAAGTTTAGGAGTTTGGTAAGACCTAAATTGCTTCTAGAAATTTCTAAAACATAGAAGCAGACAGCTAAAGTTACAATATTTAAGAGACAAATTTCCATTTTTTAAGAAAGTGAGGCTATGGAAAGAGACTATGGGATTAGAATCTCATCATTTTAATTAAATTTATTATTTCATTAAGAAAGTGATTTTAGGGGCTGGGGTTGTGGCTCAGTGGTAGAGTGCTCGTCTCGCACTTGTGAGACCCTGGGTTCGATCCTCAGCACCACATAAAAATAAATAAGTGAAATAAAGGTATTGTGTCCAACTACAGCTAAAAATAAATATTTAAAAAGAAAGTGTTTTTAAACTTATAGCCAAAAAAATAAAAATTTATTTAATAATTATTCTGTACAAGGTCCTATACTAGAAGCCATAGAGACATAATGAAAAGTATGGTTCCCTTTCATAAGGCATGAGAGTAAAAGAACAGCTGAATGAATGGAGGTACCATTTTTTTTTTTTGAAATTTAAATCTTAATTCTACCACCTTAGAATTTTTTTTCTTTTTTCTTTTTCTTTTTTTTTTTTAGAGGAGGGAGAGAGAAAGAGAGAGAGAGAGAGAATTTTTTAATATTTATTTTTTAGTTCTCGGAGGACACAACATCTTTGTTGGTATGTGGTGCTGAGGATCAAACCCGGGCCGCACGCATGCCAGGCGAGCGCGCTAACGCTTGAGCCACATCCCCAGCCAGGAGGTACCATTTTTTGAGATGGGAAATAGTGGACCAGAACTAGTTTTGTTGAGGTCTGAATTTGGGCCATGTTAATTCGAAATGCCTAATAATAATTCAACTAGAGAAGTAAAGAAGACAGCTGGATATGAACCAAGTTGTAAAATTCGGGATTTAAGAACATATTTGGTAATCGTGAACATAAAACTGCAACCAACCATTTCCCTGTGAGTAGATGATGCTACACTTAAGGAGGAAATATAAAAAGGAAAGGTCCAGAGAGGAAGATGTGAACCCTATCTGAAAAAATGACTAAAGATCTTAAAATACTTATGAGAATTTCTCTGAGGAACATACATTTTTAGCACTAATTTTATTCATTCTAAAACTTCACAAACTTAAGGTTATCAATGAAGCTTTTTAGGTCTAAGCAAGTAGACTGTTGTGCCCAGGTAGTGACTTAGGCATTGCCTTGAGTCTTGCTGTCAACTCCAATGTAGGCTGCAGAGTAGAAAGATACCTTGGGGTCGTCACTTCTAGAGCTGTGTTGTTTTTCTGCTGTACTACACAGCATCTTCCAGATAAAAGAAGGTGAAATATTTTACTCTTTAATCTGCAGTAAAAGAATTCCTGAATGCTCTTATTAACTGATATCAGATGGAAAAAGAAATTCACCATCAGTCTTCCTGTGGATGCCTGGGGAAACACATGTGATTTTGTAAGATAAAGTCTCTTTCCCACATTACAAACCAAAATAGGATTTTTTTGTTTGTTTGTTTGTTTTGTTTTGTTTTATTGCATATCAGGAATTGAATCCAGAACCTCACATCCTAGGTAAGCTACTACCAAACTACATCCGTAGCCCTACAAAATGGGTTTTGATAACTAGGTATAACTAAGAAAATAATTTTGATGAAAACATTCTGTAGAAGATTGCAAATAGGAGACTGTAAGTTTGGGTTTTGGAATCTATAATAGAAGGATTTTTGTTGACTTGTGACAAATTCCAAATGCACAGGTAACTTAGAGATCTGCTTTTTCTAATTATGAGCAAGACATTTACCCAAATGCATGTGATGAGTTAACCAACAAGTCACTCTTTACATGAAGAGTTGCTTTATGAATGAATGAATGGTTAAGCAAATTTATAAAAGTAATTCAAACAATACTATGTGCATTATTTTGTTCCTTTCCCCCACATTTTTTATTGGTGCATTATAGTTGTACATAATAATAAGATGTATTGTTACATATTCATACATATACTCAATATAACAATATAATTTGGCCAATATCATTTGCCAGTATTTCCCCTTTCTCTTCCTTTCTCCCACCTCCTGGTTCCTTTCCTTTATTTTACTGATCTTCCTTCCATTTCCATGAGATCCCCAACATCCCACCTTTCTTTTCCTTTTTCCTCTCCAGCTTCACTATGAAAGAAAACACACACATTCCTTGACCTGAATTTGGCTTATTTCATTTAACATAATGTTTCAAGTTCCATCCACTTTCCTGCAAATGACCTAATTACATCTTTCTTTATGTCTGTGTATGGAGTTTTATTCATTCCTTCATTTATGGATACTTAGGCTGGTTCCCTACATGGTATGCATGTATCACTATAGTATAATGACCAGTTCTTTAGGATAAATACTGAGGAGTGATATAGCTGGGTCTTATGGTGGTTCCATTCCTAGTCTTTTGAGGAATCTTCATACTGATTTCCATAATAGTTGTACTAATTTACAGTCCCACCAACGGTGTAAAAGTGTTCCTTTTTCTCCACATACTCCCCAGAATTTATTATTGTTCATATTTGTTGTTGGTGGTGGTACTAGGAATTGAATTTAGGGGTGCTTAACCACTGAGTCACACCCCCCATTCTTTTTAAAATTATTAATTTTTTTTAAATTTTGAGACAAGTTCTCACTAAACTTCTGAGACTAGACTCAAATTTACAATCCTTCTGCCTCACCCTTCTGAGTCACTGGGATTACAGGCTTGGGCCACTATGCTTGGCTGGACATTGTTTGTATTCTTGATGACTGTCCTTCTGACTAGAGTGAGATTAAATCTCAGTGTATTTTGACTTTCATTTTCCTAATTTGTTTTGCTCCCATTTTGATTACCCATAATGGTAGTGAAGGCTTTATCACTAAAACTTTCACTGATTAAAAGAAAATCACAGATATGGTGGTGCACCCCATAATTCATCTGAGGCAGAAGGATTGCAACCTCAAGGCCAGGCTCAGCAACTTAGTGAGACTCTGTCTCAAAATTTTTTAAAAAATAAGAAGGATTAGGGATGTAACTCAGGAATCACTTCCACAAGCAACTTTTCTTTAGCTGGTGGGGGAGGATACTGGGGATTGAACCCAGGGCACTCTATCACTGAGCTATATCCCTATCCCTGCTTATTTTTTATTTTGGGACAGGGTCTCCCTAAGTTGGTCAGACCGTCCTCAAATTTAGGATCCTCCTGCCTCAGCCTACCGAATTGCTAGAATTACAGGTCTGTGCCACCGCACCTAGTTACAAGCAACTTTTTTCCCAGTGTTCATTGTAGAAATATATATACATATATACAGATACATATTCTTATGTATTTACATTTCTATGTGTACATGTACTACATATTATATATTCTTACATACATGTAGGAATAAACATATCTGAGTATTTGGAAAGAATTTAGTAATTAACTTAGTAAGAAAAATAAGATTGAGGAACTACATGTCTTGTTATTTAAAAGCTAAATATTATTTTGATTTAATTTTTTAAAAAATGCCACCAAAAATGTTTTTCCAAGATAACAAGAAAACTTTCAAATTAATTACTTATACTTTCATCAGTTTGACTATTTTGACGAAGTATTAGGAAACAGCACATTTGCTGATTTGTGGGATTTAGATTTAAACATTACTCATCTTTATTCAGGGAAACACTCAACATATTAGGAAACTACCAGAGTACTTGGCATGAAAAACAAACCCCATTATTTATATTTTACAAAATCTATATTTAATAATGTGTACACAGGTTTAAAAAATACAGAGCAACCATGCCCAAGAACTCTACCAAAAGGCGAAAGTCTGATTCTATTTGACGCATGCACACACGATACACTGGGCATAAATGCATTTACACGACGGGAGGGCAGCTGTATTGAGCCTACACAAGCAATGCATCATGTAACTTCACCCGAACCCGACAAACTTACAAAGTTTAAGGTGATTATTTCTCTGAGGACTGAAATTGCAGTAGAGCCTAATCCTATTTTCTGTTAAGCTTGTTTTCCCCTCACAGTAGTCCAGGAAAGGGGATAGGGCATTATTATCAGAGCAATGTAATTCACAAGATTCATGAATGAAATCTACAAAATACAGAAAAGGGAGATGCAATAAAATGATTGCGTCCGTAGGTGTGATGATACGATTGAAAGTAACCTGGAAGTTTATTAATTTGATAGGATGAATCCTTGGCCACCGAAAGACCCTGCAGCTATGTGAGGGGAGTCTGCAGCGGGGAGCGGGATCCCTGGGCATTTCACCCCCGTGGAGCCGTGAGCCCTAACTGGCCATCTGGAAGGGCTCCGGCTGGAAGCTGAAGAGCCTCGGGCCGTACGGCTCGCTCTCGCCCGGCAGCTTTGCGCCTGCGAACGGCAGGTAGTGATCGTGGCTGAAGTGCTCACAGTGGAGATTGACCCAGTCCCGCTCCGAGCCCAGTCGTTCGGCCTCGGCCAGGATGCGGGTCAGTGCCATTATGTAGCTCAGCGCCATCTGTAGGGTCTCGTACTTGGACAGTTTTTTATCCTGGCCCCACTGGGGCACCACCCTGCGCAGACGGTCGAAGGCTGTGTTGAGACCCTGCATGCGACGGCGCTCGCGCGCGTTGGCCGCCAGGCGCCTGCGCGCCGCGCTCTCCAGCCGTCCGGCTCCGGCACACGTGCCCGCGCACTCGGCACCGCCCGCGCACGGGGGCGCGGCGCGTGCTCCCGCTGACGGGCCGCAGGGTTTGCAGGACTTCATCCCCGGCCGCGAGGTGGGAGGGGTGGAGCTCAGCCGCGGGCTCTGGACCTGTGCGTGGAGTTGCCTACCCAGCTGCTCCCTAACGTCGCTCTTCTTAGCAAATAAGTCACAAACAAAATAACTCACGTGCAAGCAGTCTACAGTGGGGAGTGCGGGGCTCGGCCTTCGGTTCTGCTGATTGACCTGAGGCTGTCTGATCACTTACCCAAATGTAGGGGGAATCGAGAGGCTCAAGAAAAAGTCATTTTTCCCAACGTGAAGTTGCAAAACAGAAGGAAACCTTGCAGCAGAGTTTAGTGTGGCTGGTTCAGGGAAGGCCTTTGCAGTCCTCTGAGAAAAGCCAAGGCTGGCTTCCAGGAAGATGAAATCTCTTCCGAAGGAAGAGATCTAAGGAAAGAGCGCTTTTACCGCAAGCAGTAGCTGTCGGAGAGCGCGGGATGAATCTTTGAGGGAGGAGAATTTATAGTCGACGGCTAAAGGAGGGAACAGGTGGTGGCAGGTGGGCGGGCGTCCCTCGGCTTCCATCTCAGCACCTTCCTACCCTGGGAACTGCAGGGGGGAGGGGGACGACGCACAGCAAAATCCTGACATTACTGCCTTGTCTGTTGAAGTTTCTCCAAAGCTATGTCCAACACTAACTAACACACCATCTGGAGTGGCCTGGCTGTCCCCAAAAGAATAACGAGGTGGGGGGTGGGGGAAGAGCTTGGTCTATCTTTTCCCATATCAGCAAGCAGCTTACATATCAAAAACTTAGCTAAGATTTTAAATTACTAGAAATTATGTGGAGATGTTAATCTTGGAATTATGAGATAGATGTATCAGAAATCAAGTATAGGCTAGCTTTGTTGAGAAGTGTGACAATTTTGCATAATGGTGATCTAATATGTTGACATTTTTGTTTTATCTGCTAAATAAATTGGAACAAATCAGCAAGTCCTAATATCGTAGACCTGGAATTTTACTGTGCTGTTTTCTGCAAAATCACTGATTATATCGAAAGATATTAACGTGTATATTTAAAGCTTTATATTATTCTAATTATGTAATTGCATTGCATGAGTTCAGTTATCTAAGCAAATTAATTCATTATCTATACTTCATTTCCCCATTCATAAATGTTTGTAGGGTATACATGGAGATGACAACTTATTAATGATTTGACATTTAAACCTAAGAAGCTAATAATGCACTTAGGAGTGCAAAATTCAAAAATCTAAGTAATCTGTGAGGTTTAAAAAATAATTCCTATTGAAAGATTTTTGCTGATCTCATAAGGCTGAAAATATTTCATATAACTTAAATGGTTCGGTTATGTTACCAGACCTCAGGAACAATAACGAAGCCCTGATTTTCACTATTGGTAATGATTATATGATTTATACAGGAAAATTATTATTTTGATTCTCTCATGTCAGCTTGTTTCTTGTTCTTAAGAGGACTCAAGCAACTCCAAATAGGTCTAATCCAGAATCAATTCTGGATATTTCAGAAAGACCAGATAAGTTATTTTTCCTTTTGCATTATGGATATGTCAGCATTATTTTTGGATATTTTGGATTAATTTAATTATCAACAAGCTCTCACAAATCAAGTCTTTTAACTGTGACTTGCTTCCCCCGTCATTGCCTCAGACTTAACCCCATTGTGACTGCCCTGACTCCAAGTCCCATCTTCCCATAAATAGTTGATTAATCCCCAGCTGAAACGATGACAATGAAATGAAGTTGAATAACATGAAGACAATAGGATGCAATTGAACATTAATGATCTTCAGCATGACAGATGTTGAACACAGACTTTTGCAAGGAGCCACTCAGCTCTGTTACCCTGAGTCCTAAACGGTCTTGGTTAGGAACAGCAGTCCTGTGACAACAAAGACTGTGTTATTTAGTCATCAAAATGTCAAATATATGAGGATTTTTTTCCCCCATTTTTCTTGGAAATCTGCCCTGTTAATGCTATTGCTTCTCAAGTTCATTTATCTAATCTCTTTCCCCTAAAGAGCTCCCTCTGGGCTGCTCCATGGAATGTTTCTCTGCAAAATGTGCTCGTTCTGGTTACAATTGTACAAAGCAGTAATGACATGTGTGCATTTGCAAGTCATGTACCTGGGTTGCAAGTCATGTACATGAGCATAGCCTTGTACCCAAGCATTGAAAGCATTAACTCAAAGAGAAAAAGGAAATGGCAGTATATGAACAACACAGCTAGATTAGAACATAAACTAGAAGATAACTACGACATGAAATTGATCCAAGGATAGAGAGTATTGCTGAAATTAAAGGGCCTATGAGCATATTTTAAAACATTCCCCAAATGTATCCTGAAAGACATTATTAGTATTATAAAGATGCTTCTGGGGAAAGGATCCCACCATCAAATAAGTTTGGGAAACACGTGTACTACGTCTCACTTGGTGAGTCATGAAGCAGAATTGGCATGAGAAAGTTTCTGAGAAATCCTGAAGTTAAAAAACCTAAATGAGGCTTGGGTTGTGGTTGTAGATTGCTTGCCTAGCATGTGTGAGGCACTGGGTTTGATTCTCAGCACCACATATAAATAAATAAATAAATAAAGGTTAAAAAAAAAATGACTTCAGCATTTCCTAGACCTAGACTTCAGCATTTGCTTGAACACAGACTCTTTTTTTTTTCTTTTTTTCTAAAAGGATCTATTAACATTCCTTGGACAATTTTCCAAGCTTGTTCTAGCATCTTCCATTTATTTTCTAGAGGAGGAGACTGAGATCCAGATACTGAACACTGTGCTTGAGGGCATGAAGCCATTTAATGACGGGATTAAAAGAAGAAGTCAAATCTTCTGCATCCTTTGATTTTAGACGCTTTAAAATTATGAGATCACTTAGGACCCTTATTTTGTAATGGAGTAACAGAGATCCAGCCCAGTCAAGCAAGTCATGAATAAAAGTTTCAGGAATATAATTAGAAAGGTAGTGCTTAAAGGATAATGTTTTTATATTACAACTCTAGTGTCTAGCAGCAGCTTAAAAATAACAAACCAGATAAAATGACTGAAAAAGTAAATTAGATAAATGATAGAAAATGTTCAGAATGAGCACATTCCTAGTGAATAAACTCATACTGATCATGTTCATCCCCTCACTTAAGAAGAACAGAAACTGTTCGATATTTTGTATGTAGAATGGGTTATTTTTATTAAAAAAAGAAAGAAAGAAACATAGCATTTGGACCAGAAGAACCTAATTCAAACATAGCATTTGAACCTTTGCACGTCAGACTAATTTCCATAATGTTCCTATATTGAGGCTAAGATCTTATCAGTTGAATGGACAGTTACTGTTATTAAATAAAGTTTATAAGAGACCATTGATCTGAATTGGTTCCTGTATTGGGCCCCACAGACCAAACCAATATGGAGTCATTCATGCTAAATGAAACTAATTGACTTAGGAGTATACTCATATAACAAATGGCTGACTGTCAATTAGTTATAGCAGCAAAGCTTTAGTCAATCCTAGGCAGACAACTGATTAAGGTAAAAGCTACAACCAATTAAGTGCTATACCTGACTTCTGTTTTCTATCTATAATTACTATTTGTAAGTACTATCTAATCATGTCCCTGGCCAAAGTTCTTTGAACATGTTATGATTCAGAAGCCTGCCCAATTCTAGAATCATAAATAAAAGACTTAAATATAAGATCTGATAAGTTATTGCAGTTTTGTGTTTTGACACTATTATCTGGTGGCCAGTCAGAAGTTAAAATTGGTGGGTAAAGATATGGAGATGGCAGAGGGTAGGACAGACAAGAAGGAGCTTACACCTGTAAAATGGGTAGAAAATGGGAGAAATACTATCTTAGAGTTAAAAAACATCAAAGTTTGGGAATTATTACACATGTGGAATAGACTCCATGGTAAACATTCTTGTATTATTCAAAACCGTATTTCATTTTTAAAATGGAAGATCTTAGCTAGGTGTGGTGGCACATGCTTGTAATCCCAGTGACTTGGGAGGCTGAGGCGAGAGGATTGCAAATTTGAGGCCAGCTTCAGCAATTTAGTGAAAGGCTAAGCAACTTAATGAGACCCTATCTCAAAATAAAAAAATAAAATGGGCTGGGGATGTGGCTCAGTGGTTAAGCGCCTCTGGGTTCAATCCTTGGTACCAAATAAATAAACAATGGAAGCTCTAAAAAAAAAAAAAAAAATTCCACACCATTAAAAAAAAAAAAGAGGCCCCAAAAAATGTCCATCCTGAATTTTTTAGAGAAAAATATGGAAAAGAAGACTAAGCCTTCTTTATGAAGGGTGTGGAAATCAGGGAGCTATGGATACTCAAAAGACAAAAAGGTAAGCCAGCAAAAAGGAATGATAAAGTTGAGTTTCACTTACATTTTATTAAAGGCCACAAATAGAAGGTGTTAAGAGCTCTTGTAGCTTTATAATGTAGTTACTAGAAAAGAAAAAAAAATCCCCAAATGATTAGTATGTAGAGAAAGAGGAAGGGGGAGACCAGTATTGATTTCCACTCCCTTCTGCTCAAAGGTCCAGGAAAAAGAAAATCACAAGGAGGGCAGAAACTAAAAAGGGAAAACTAATAATAGGATCCAGAAAAAAAAAATGGCAATGATGTGAAACACTGTCCTAGGCCACAGAAGTTATCACTCACCAGAAAGTACAGGCTTTCCAAAAGGCCCCAAGTGGATTCTCTAACCCTAGTGACTACACACTTCTTGAGAATCTGATTCAGCATCCTGCTTTCATTTCTAGCTGCCATGAGCCACACTGATTTGTGCAGTTTGAACTCTGCCTTCACTCTTCTTGCTAATGGATGATCCTCCTCCTCCTCCTCCTCCTCCTCCTTCTTTTAATTCTAGATGCACACAATGCCTTTACTTTGTTTATTTATCTTTATGTAGTACTGAGGATGAAGTCCAGTGCCTCACACATGCTAGGCAAGCACTCTAACAATGAGCCACAACCCCAGCCCCACCCCACCCCCAATGGATCTTTGCAGCTTTGGAGTTCCTTTTAGATCCTTAATCCATCAACTAGTTGAGCTGTATGCTCTTTTTTTTTTTTTTTTAAAGAGAGAGAGAGAGAATTTTTAATATTTATTTTTTAGTTTTCAGCAGACACAACATCTTTGTTTGTATGTGGTGCTGAGGATCGAACCTGGGCCCCACACATGCCAGGCAAGCGTGCTACCGCTTGAGCCACATCCCCAGCCCGAGCTGTATTCTCTTGAGTAAATCACTTCTATTTCTCCATCCACAAGATGGGAATCATAATGCCTACCTCACAGGCAGCGCTGAACATTAAATGAGATTGTGCTTGTAAAAGATTCTGCCTGGCCTCTAAAAAGGCCATCCTTTAAACAACAACTCAGAATACATATACTAAACATTTTATAAATGATAATGAAAGTAAACATATC